GACACACTGTTAAGATCCAACACTCATGAGTTTCCTATATGAGCTATGTTCACTTCTAAAATCCATAGGAGCTAGGATCATTTCCTAAGCTATATGGGCTATGTTATTGTGTATACTGAGACCATATGTCTTAGTGAAAGTCACATGTGTTATAACTGTTTGTGCATACGAAAAGTGAAACATCGGGTTTAGATCGACGAGACGGATCTATATGGGAAGATATCCCATGAATAGTTGCTAGCTACAAACATCGTCTGACGAGTCGAAAATAAGCGTTGACGTTTCTATTATACTTACACCACGACATTGATAAAACATTGGTGTGGAGCTTTTAGCACGCCTCTCCTTAATGCTGGTGCAAATGTTGCGAGTCGTAGTTTGGTTATGAGCTCATTATAGATCCCAGATATGTATGTGACCGTATAGAACTGGAATAGGATTTATATGGAAATTTTGTTCTCTTATACTAGTTGAAAGAGACTGTATATAGTGGGATAGTTTGTGACTCAAAATGATAAGTGTCAATACTAGAAATTAAGTCATATAACAGTTAACTAATATCATGACACGGATGGACAAGGTTTATTAACTTACATTTAATAAGTTATCTATATAAACCCATTTGTTTTTTACGAAGACATTGTGTTTATGTGGGAGGATTTTTCACTACTGGTTAAGTGTCGCTTCCCAAATTAAGTACGATAACGCTTAATTAATAATACATCATGATCATACAAAGTTTATAAACTCGAAACTTATGAGTTTTACATATAAACTATACAATTTCTTAACAAGGTTTATTAACTTACATTTAATAAGTTATTTATATAAACCCCTTTGTATTTTATACAAAGACACTAAGTTTATGTGCGAGGAGTTTTCACGATTGGTTAAGTGTCGCTTACCAAATTAAGTAAGATAACACTTAATTAATACTAAGACACGATCGTACCAAATTTATAAACTCGAAACTTTTGAGTTTTACATATAAACTATACAATTGCTTGTACAAAATTTCAAGATAAAGTTGGCTATTTTATGTTTTGACAAACTGTGGCATGTCTTTATCTTATATAAATTGGTATTCGAATTCCTTATATAAAAAGAATTTTGGTCACGAGAACCGTAAAATTTGATATAAGTTTCATTTACTTATATATTTGTGAAATTTTGTACTTTTGGATTTGAAAAAACCGATATTTCTAAATGAGTTCAAATACACTTTTATACCTCATCTACTTTATACTTTTGATAGAAAAGTACATATTTTATAAAATCGGGTCAACCAGATAAAATTTTATAAAACACTTTTGGTTATAAAAGTACTTTGTGTCAAAATCTGTAGAACTCACCAACAAGTTTTGTTGATGTATCTTAATGCATGTATTCTCATGTTCAATAGCAGGTAATAAGAGTTTGCATAAAAGATTTTCCATTATTTTACTATACATTTGTAAACACTGGATTGTTAGGCATGTGTTATGATTTAGAAATAGCTATTGTCAATGTAATTTTTATGTTTGTTGTAATGGAAGATTATATTTGTATTGTTCAATGTATATTCACTAAATGTGATCACTGATTTACGGTGAGCACCTCGACATTTCTGTCGGCAACCGGGGGTGTGCAAATTCTATTGAATCTATATGCCCAAGAATCATTATGGAGTGACATTGCTAATAATATATGATCATATAGTGTCACACATTTATGAAGTTAGCACATTTTGTATATTTATTATTAATATGATTATTAATAAATGATATCAATTCTTGTATCTTAATTAGGGAATAACTATTGTTTTGTGAAAATAATAATTATAAGAGAGTATAAATAGTTATTATTTCATATGATATGAATTAATAAGTCATGTACAACCTTTTGGACTAGTTGGATTCTTTTGTCTTTTATCTAAAGACAAACTTTGTATTTTATAAACTTAGAGTTTATAAAAACTAAAGAATCCTCATCTTTTCAAGAGGCATGACCAAATCTATTAAACAAATATAGTGGTTGCTTGTCAACCACCATGCTTTGTCTCCCCATGCTTCTAAAGGCTAGCATTACTTTAGAGTATTTTAATGTAATGCCCTTACCTTTGCATGGGTATATAAGAGAGTGTGTTTCATGAGTTTTTGGATAGTTTTCTAGTGAAATCTCTTCTTTTCTCTCGGATCCATGATGGTTTGGTTTTGTTATAATCTAAAAATAAACTTGTTATTTTTAAAAGTCTTTCGTTGTGGTTTTTGTGAAAAACAAACCTATATTTTGTATCAAAACCCATCAAATTCTCACATACATCATCAACAAGACACAACCAAACTTCAACTTCCTTTTCAACATTAAGACCACGCTTTCCAAATTTGCAATATTGTGTGTACCTTCTTCATTATCAACAACTCTTAATTGTTTCTGCAATAACAACTCTTCTTCAACATTTGCAAGATCATTCCTCACACTTTCCAGTTCATTCCTCAAAATAGATAACTCAATACATTTACATATTGCTTTCAACTTCAACAATGTAATCTTGTAGTGTTTGTTCATTTCATGATCAACCCACCTAATGTATTTGCATTTTAGGTGGTCGACTAGCTACAAAAAGATCATAAAAACATAAACTACCCAAATACCATATAAGATGCTATAGTAACAAGTAAATGTAAGTACATTTCTATATCTTGTACTACCCTAAATATATGTACATTGCATATCATGCTTTCAATGTAAGTACACGTATGAATCATATACATTACCCAAACCTGGCCATCTAGATCATAGTTATACCCTAGTGTACATTACCCAAACAAACACAAAGAAAATTTAGGGTTTTGTTTTACGATTTTAGGGTTTTATAAAATTACTATAACTTGTAAGGATCTATCAAAACAAAGACAAACCTCTTACAAAGCTACGCGAGTCTTGGAGTGGAAACAATCGGTAAAATAAACCACCAGAATAGCTTCAAATCACAATATAAATGCAATACGAAGGACAATAACTACTCTACATTAACCAATGATGAAGCATAATTGAAGAATTGTGTTACAGGTTGTTTGCACTCAAAGACCTGCGTAGCTTTGTAAGAGGTTTACAGTTATAGCTACAAGGCTCGTCTAGTATAGGATCATTCATGATTCCATGAAATTTTTGAAGGGATGAGCTTGAAGAAGACATAGGAGCTAGAGATGAAAGCTTTAGATCATAAAAGGGGAAGGAAGTGTGGCTTTTGGCTTCAACACATCCCTCTCCTAAATAGAGGCAACGATGTCACCTAAATCAACAAAACGTGTCTATGTGGCAATAATCACACTTACAGTTTGTTGAAAACGTTTTCTTGCATCATGTCATGAAATGCCACTTATTCTGATAGAATATAACTTCATAACAGTTATTTTCATAAAATGTTACGATCAAGGAAACGAAGAAATGGTTTGAAGAATGACTTGAAGACCTGATAAGAATGAGTTGAAGAATAAATGAAAGATTGATCACACTTACAGTTTAAGAATGTTTTTTTTTATTTTTTTTTTATTTTTTATTTTTTTTATTTTTTAAGAATGATATTTGTTATTCTTTTATAACGTTATTATTCAAGAATCTTTGTTTTGTATTATAATCATACAATGTAATTATTTGATATCTTATTAGTTTAAAAATCGATTTTGAATATTCTTTTATAATGTATTTATTCATGTTTTCTTTTTACTTATGTTTTGTTAAAGGATGTAATAAATGTGGTTATAATAGAATGTTATTCTAATAGAATTTATTCTAGCATAAAATAGGTTATAATCGGTTATGATTACAAAATCTATACAAATATAATTAATTTTCTTTTATAATTCACCCAGAAAAGACTTAAATACCCTTATAGCATTATTTTTAGAAATTGATTAATTAATTAATTAATTTCAATTTAATTATGAAAATTCTAATTAATTAGTGGAAATTTGTTTCTTTTGCATTGTCATTGGTCTATTCGTCCAAACGATATTTATCTGGAACACAATAACCTAATATATATATATATATATATATATATATATATATAGATATATATAATATATATATATATATATATATATATATATATATAATGAAAAAGTTAAATAGAGAACCATAATTATTGGTTCTCCAAGGAACCAATTTTTTTTTTCAAGTTCTAGAGCTTATTATTTATCGAAAAAAAAAACTAAAATATCAAAATTCATAACATAACATTGTGAATGTTAAATATATTTTTCGGATTCACCGTATGAATTTAGATTTACATTGTGAATTTGGCGATTTTTTGTTTCGAATTTGATATCATTGCAAAAAGGATAAAAAGTTATGAATTTCTGTATTTTTAGTTTTATTTTTTTTTTGATAAAAAACAAGTTGAAAAAGTTGAAAAAAATATTGGTTCTTTGGTTCTTTGGTTAATTATGGTTCTCTATTGAATATATATAGATATATATATATAGATATATATCTATATATATATATATATATATATTATATATATATATATATATATATATATATATATATATATATAGGGTGAGGTTCAATAGAGAACCATAATTAACCAATGAACCAATCTTTTTTTCAACTTTTAGAACTTATTTTTTATCAAAAAAAAACTAAAAATACAGAATTCATACTTTTATCATTTTTCCAATGATATCAAATTCGATTTTTTTTTTTTTTTAACATCAAATTCACAATGTGAATCTTTGAAAATTCACAATGTGAATCCGGATTCACACGGTGAATCCGAAAAATATTTTTCACATTCACAATGTTAATATATGAATTTAAATATTTTTAGATTTTTTTTTCGATAAATAATAAACTCTAAAAATTGAAAAAAAATTTGGTTCCTTTAAGAAACAATAATTATGGTTCTATGACATATATATATATATATATATATATATATATATATATATATATATATATATATATATATATATATATATATATATATATATATATATATATGTCATAAAACCTTCACACAGATACACACGAACACATGGAATCAGAGCTACTAAACTGTGAAAGCAAACCGCATGTGCTGTTCATACCATGTCCAGCACAAAGTCACATCAAGTGTATGCTGAAACTCGCAAGGTTACTGCACCACAAGGGCTTACAAATAACCTTTGTAAACACTGAGGTTAACCACCAGCAGTTACTCAATTCCGGAGGGCCAAACTCTCTCGATGATGAACCAGGGTTCCATTTCGAGACCATTCCAGATGGTATCCCCGATGGTTCACGAGGGAACATTTATGAACTCCCTAAATCTATTCTAACTAACTTCTTGGGTTACTTTCTTGATCTCGTGGCTAGACTAGAGATTCCATTTACTTGTATTATTAGTGATGGTATGATGCCTTTCACTGTTGATGCTGCTGAGACGCTTAAATTACCTATCATTCATTTTTGGACCTTCGCTGCTAGTGCTTTCATGGGATATTGCCAAGCTCCAAATCTGATTGAAAAAAACATTATCCCACTTAAAGGTTAGTTTCGTTACTCCCTTATTTTGTAATAAAATATAAATTTTCAAACCTCGCGTTGTATTTATTTTTTTTACAAATGTCGAAATCTATTTGAAGTAAATTGGATAAGATATTGAGACTGGTTTTAAAGGTTCCGCCAAGATCTTTGGAATAGTATATTTTAATGAGAAATAATGTTTAATATTTTAATTTTTGATATTCGATCACTACAGTTATTTTAGAACAACGGTAAGATTTTGTAAATGGTGAAATAGTGCAACCAGAAATTGGAGATGGAGAACACACAAATCATGCATGTCATTCTAAAGTAACTAACTTTTCTACATTTCATACAAGTATAGTAAAGATAGGACACTTTGCATGCCTCACTTCCAATTTTAGTAGTCTCATCTTATAGTCTGTTCTTAGCTTCTTCCAAGTTCCAATGACACATGGAGAGACGACCATGGCTATAATAAAAAGGATGATAGATATTGTAGCAGGATCTGTTTGAAGAATACTCTATTATGGAGGAATTTCTTTCTGGGAGCTCCATCAACAAGAATTGATTTTGAACCCGAATCCAAACACGCTCTTACCCAACATCTCCAGTTTTTTATTAACCGTATTGCATCTAGAACAATGTCCAAGGTATAACTTTGTTTATAATACGGGGGTTATCTAGAATTTCATAATCATTCACAAAAGCATGAATCACATTTTTGTGTTATTAGGGAGAAGTTTAGCTATATTTTTAGGAATGGCAACGGAGCGGGTTCGGGACGGGGCATGGTTTCCTAAACCCGCCCCGATATGTTTTGGGTATCTTATCCGGGTGCCCCATCGGGTTCAGGTTTTCCCGTCGGGTTTCGGGTATCTTATCGGGTTTACAAAAATTCATAATGAAATATTTATTCCGTTTTAGGGTATCCCGATGTCTTATAAAAATACATGTTTTAACTTCCCTTTTAAATTAGTATATGATGAATCACATTAATAAACTAAACTGAACATTATATTAAAAATTATTTGATTTGAGTTTAGTGTAATATGTCAAAACATAAAAAATTACACCAGATTGTTAATAACTAAAAAGATTGTCCATAGTATGTATTTTATTTTTAATTGTGTGCAATTAACATCACAAAGATTCAAACATATTATATATAATAGGGGCGGGGCGTGTCGGGTTTCGGGTTTTCCCGTCGGGTTCAGGCTTTACCATTCCTAATAATTTTGTACATTTTCCCGACCAAACTAATTAGACCATAGTCATCTACATAATGAGTATACGATCCTATAGAGACTAGGGTCATGAAGGCCGCATTACAATCTTTATGGATTATCTTTTGTCTTTCAAAGTCTTTAGCAATTTTTGTAACTTCCCAACGAGCACACTGGACCAAAACATACAACCATTCCTTAGTAAATTTTTACTAAAAGCAAAAAAAGAATGCCACATTTCAATCGCAAGGGCTAAGTTTTCACGACTAAATCGAGTTATGTAGATATTTAGAAAACAAAGTTTTTCATTGTTTGCAAGTTGCAACCCATTTACCAAAAGTCATAACTAATGGAAGTGAAAGAAATCGTGATTTTGAAGAAATTCATTTATCGATATAAAATATATGTTTTATTGATTTGAATGATAGCTACAAGAATATTGTATCTTATATGGATGAATCAATCTTTTAACTAGAAGAATCATATTCCTTACCAAAATATTAGGTAAAAATCAGTTGTGTGGATACCATTAATTGTATGACCAATTTATCAAAATGTGGACGTTTCCTTAATATAGATATTATGAGTAATTTTGTAAAATGAGACATGTTCTTATAAGTTATAGCAAAACTCTTTAATTTATTAATTATAACATGTTATTTTACTCAAAAATATGTATTATATATAGGATTTTGTTAAGTTAACTTTGTAAGATCTGTATATTTAAAGATAACACGATGTCAACTCATCATGCCGGGTACTTGAAAGAGTTTCTGGAAAACTGTAGATCCCAATATATACATTGGTTTTTCAAATAGTTTTTCTGAAAAAAGTTTGACTGTAATATATATACATGCAAACATTTTAGGGAATTTGCCATATTAGTGGGCTAAAATAGATTAAATTTTTCTTCAACCTTGAATATTGTTGTACTCCACATAAGAAATTAACTGAATATGGATTAATCTTTTGGAAAATGCTTACTTATTTGTTCATCATCGTAACCAATTCTTACTAATGTTTCAGATGAAAGTTGCCTCACCAATGGGTATCTCGACACCATCATAGATTGGATTCCAGGTTTGGAAGCATTCCGTTTAAAGGATCTTCCAGGTTATGTTCGAACTATAGACCCAAATGAAGTAGACTATAAGTTTAACATTGAGAGTATTAAAGCAACAAGGAAGGTCTCAACTATAATTATCCACACATTTGAAGAGTTAGAGTCCACCGTCATCAAAGCTCTCAAACCCATGTTTCCTCACATCTACACAATCGGACCATTGCAGTTGCTTCTAAACCACATACAAAATCAACAAGAATCAAAGAGTTATAGTCTGTGGAAGGAAGATGCTGAGTGCCTTAACTGGCTGCAATCAAAGGAACCAAATTCTGTGGTTTATGTTAATTTCGGTAGCCTAATAGTGATGTCTTCACAAAAATTGCTAGAATTTGGCTGGGGACTTGCTAATAGCAACTATTATTTTCTCTGGATCATCAGACCAAATTTGGTTGTTGGAGAGTCCCTTGTCTTTCCTCCAGAACTCAAAGAGATGATTGATAAGAAAGGCTTTATCGCAAGTTGGTGTCCCCAGGAAGAAGTGTTGAACCACCCTTCGGTTGGGGGGTTCTTGACTCATTGTGGATGGGGTTCCACCATTGAGAGCTTATCAGCTGGGGTCCCGATGCTTTGTTGGCCTTACATATGGGACCAACCAACTAATTGTAGGCAAATTTGCAAGGAATGGAAAGTTGGTATGGAAATCGGAGATAATGTAAAAAGGGATGAAGTCGAAAAGCTCATACAGGAGTTGATGGGGGGAGACAAGGGTAAGCAAATGAGGAGCAAGGCTATAGAGTGGAAGAAAAAGATTGAAATTGCAACGGCTCCTAATGGCTCATCTTCCTTGAATGTTGAGAAACTTGTCAATCACATTCATATGTTGAAACTAGCTTAGTATTTCACATGTTCTTTTTCGTTTCATGAAAGGTGCTAAAGGTCCATCTTTTCGTATTTTCTCACAACAGAAAAAAATAATGTTGAATTCTATTGTATGATGTATTACTATTAGACTCAAGGTCTACATTCTATAGGTGTTATTTATCAATGTGATCTTTATAGCATTTAAGTGACCACATGGTTTAGTAAGAATGTTTTATGATAAGTTGTATATTGTTTTATTAATAAAATAATATAAACTTATTGTCAGATTATTAGTCGTAGATTTTTTTTGCCATCATATTCCTTTATAATAAATAGCATAATCTTTATTCTCTTAGTTCACTTTTTAGCTTTTTTTCATTTTGCATGCAAAAAATTTATTCTTATTTTTATGTCGTAAAATGAACTTTGCGTTGATAAGAATTAGAAACAGTAAATATTCAAGAATCAAGATTTGCTTATTTTCTAAGCGTCGATTCATTTAATTTTAGCAATAAGTTTTCAACCGAATGACCGTTTTTTTTTCAGGCGGAAAATATGGGATTTAAAAGATCCTCTTATCGGTTATAGATCTAGATTGATTCTATCCTTTTTTTATATTCACTAATTTTTAGCTTTCATTTGTTATCCTTTGTATAAAAAGGCTTTTGTCTCTTTGGAATTCAATAGATGAAAATTATTACGTACCATGGATTTTATGATGGTATCACAGCAGGTCTAACCTAAAAGCACCAACCCTAAATTGCCATCCCTCTCCATGGCCGACGACGAAGCAGGATCCGGCCAAGCGTCAAAGAAGGATAATGGGCCAGATGCAAATTCACCACTCTACATATATCCCTCATATTACCCCAACCAAATGCAAGTCAACGATGCCCTAACCGACAACAATTACACCGACTGGTCACAGGAGATTATGAGCTTCCTGTTTGCCAAAAACGAAGTCAGTTTTGTTAATGGATCTATAAAGCCACCGAAAAAGGATGATGCAGATTACATGGCATGGATGCATTGTGACGCTATGATGAAATGATGGCTTACAACAACCATGGAGAAGAACATCCTAAGCTGTGTGAAATATGCAAGCACTGCAAGGGAAATGTGGAACGATATTTTGGAACGTTTCGGGAAAGAAAGTGCCCCTAGGGCATATAAATCAAAAGAAATTCTCACAGGCACACGACAAGAAGGGGTCACGGTTTCCACCTACTACACTAAGTTGCAAGGCATTTGGGACAAGATGCAAGTGGTACTCGTGATTCCATGTTGTGTATGTAATGGTTGTATATGCAATATTGGAAGAAAAAGGGTGGAGCTCAGAGAGAAAGAAAGACTATACGAGTTCCCCATGGGACTCGATAGTGAATTCTCAATCATACAAACATATATCCTTACCATAAACTTGATTCCGTGTTTAGGAAATGCCTACCATCTGGTTGGAGAAGATGAGCGACAGAGAACCATATCCGGAGAAAAGAAACCCACGACTGAACTCGCTGCTTTTAAAACCTTCATAAAAAGAAAAAAAGAATGTATATCCAATCAATGACACAACATATCCTAGACCAAAGACAACAAAATCAGCGAACCATAAGAACATTGCACCTTCTGTGGAAAGGGTGGGCATAATCGGGAAGGGTGCTTCAAACGAGTTGGGTATCCGGACTGGTGGCCAGGAAAATAAAAAGCAAGATGAAGCCAAACCTAAGGCTGATTGTATTGAAGTCGGTGCGAGTCCAGTTCCAGGCTTGACTAACGAGCAATATGATACCTTCCTAAAGCATTTTGGAGACAACTCAAAGACCACGAAGTGTAATAAAACTGCCACCGCCTTCATGACAGGTAAGACTAACCTTGAAGATGATTAGGTAATTGATTCAAGATCCACCGAGCACATTACCCACAACGTCGATATTCTTGAGAATGTCGTCCAAAGTAACAATGAGACTCTTGTTGTTATTCCTAATGGAGAATTCATACTTGTCAAAGGAAAGAGTGGATGTACCTTAAAAGGGAGGGCTAGGATTAAAAATGTTCTTCACATTCCCAAATTCGCCTATAACCTTCTTTCAATTAGTCGTTTAAGCAAATAACTTCAATGAACTATAACCTTTTTCCCTGACTTTTTTGTAATTCATAAATTGTACATAAGGAGCTTGATCGGTGCGGGTCAGTGCAGAAAAGGTCTTTATCGAATGGGGATGTTTGGAATCGAGAAGAAGGCTTGCATGGTAACGACAGTTGTTTTTCATCAAAGGCTTGGTCATGCTTCTGGTGATAAACTAACTCAAATCAACTTCCTTAAGAATGTTTCTCTTAATAAACTTTGTGATTCTTGTTCTAAAGCCAAACATACTAGGCGGCCCTTTAAATTTAGTGAAATTAAGACAAATGATTGTTTTGAATTATTACATTGTGATGTTTCAGGAAAGTATCATTTTTCTTCTATTTATGGAGCCAATTATTTCTTAACCATCGTTGATGACTTCAGTAGGAGTGTTTGGGTCTTTCTACTCAAACACAAACATGAAGATAGGAAATGTCTCATTAACTTGTACAACTTGATAAAAACTCAATTTGGAAAATAGGTTCAGAAAATTAGAAGTGATAATGGAGGGGAATTCACCTCTCATGAGGTAATTAATTTCTGTAACAAAGAAGGAATCTTACTTGAGACCACCTGTCCTCACACCCCACAACAAAACGGAGTTGTTGAACGAAAACATAAACACCTTCTTGAAACCGCACGAGCCCTTCGATTTGAGGAAAATATACCCAAAAGATTTTGGGGTGAGAACCCCCAAAGTACCAACACATAACCAAACACATATATATAATAAAAGCATGCAATGGATCCACAACTAAAAGACTGAATTACCCCTGATCCCACAGCACAAGTATGGCTTGCCCTCGGGGACCACAACTTATGTTTAGCTTGCTCCCCGACCAGATCAGTCCTCAAACTGAATACCACCAAGCCCTCAGTATGAGTCTGGCATGCCCGACCCGACCCTCAGCTCATATCTGGAATGCTCATGAGCCTTCAATATGAGTCTGGCATGTCCTACCCCGCCCTCAACTCACATCTAGATTCCTCCAGGGTTTGTTGGCTACGGCACAGAGCAGTACAACCTCAAGCCAACCCACACAATTTGTCGACATATAACAGATACTAAAATATACAGATAATCATACAGACAGTATCGCAGGGAGTCCCACCGATCTACCAGACTAGCATATCAAAACTACCATACATATCTATTCCATACTCAGCATATCAACGAATATCAGGTTATCAAACGAATGTGCCGGCCTTGGTGCCTTAGACCCGTAAGTATAGTAAAGGAAAGTCACCTCGCAAACTGAACATAACTGATGAGGTTCGACTCCGAATCTCAGCTCTCTAACCCAAAATACCCTCAAGGTTAAACTTGGTCATAGTCAAAGTCAACTAATTATACCCACTAAGTCAACTAATTCAACCCAGCTGAGTCATCCCAACCGAGTCAACTCAACAAGGCTGAACGAGTGCGATTACACGGGGCGTATTCCGGAGGTACGCATGGCGTACGTGAAGCCTCACAGTTGACCACCATCGGGGTGGTTGACCGAGTATGCGGGGCGTACTCCTATGTACGCGGGGCGTACCCTCGCAGCGTCCAAACTTCATTAAGTGCTAAATGGCTCAAGCACTTAAGTCTATATTTTAGATCTAAGATCCAAATACACTCTAGAGTCATAAAGTTTCAAGATTTATGACTATACAAGTCCAAAAAGTGCTTAACACAATGTCGTAATCCATTATGACCTTCTACAAGATGCATGAAGCAAATTTAACAAATGGGACATCATTTTTATGGTTGGGGACCCCTCCTAGGGTCTGAAAGGACAACTCAAATTGACAAGAACAACCTATTCATAAATGAGACTTTTGTGACCAGAAAGTAACATAAAAACACCCACAAATGAGATCTAGCAAACAAGTCATCAAGGTATGAACTTTATACCTTCTCTGATGGAGAAGGATGCAAAACTCCCATATCCCATCTTGCTTCAAGCTTTCAAGCTTGACCACCACCTTCATCTTCCTGTAGAACACACAAAAACTCACATTAAACCTTCCAAAAGCTCAAATGGGGCTAGGGTTTGCAAGAGAATACAAGTATATTGATGGAGGCTGGATATGAGAAAAGAAATGAGGCTTAATGTTGCTTAAATACCACCCAAACCCTAAAAACTAGGATTTCCTTCTTTAGCTAGTACGTGCCACGTACATTAGTGTGTGCCCAGTGTACTAGGGCGCCCCCTAGTACGCTCACGTTACACACATCTACGCATGGCGTACTTTGTTGGATTAGATGTCTAAGCTCATAACTATTATTGGTATGTACTCGACCCGAGAGTAGCATGGTCCATTTGCGTTGCATAACATCAGGACAATTTGTTAGGATGGACTTTTGAGAAGAGGTTATATATGATATATTTATATATTATAAGTTCTAATATATTAATATGAAATCATATGATTTAATTAGTATTGATCAAGAATTAGTTTGGAATTAATATAGTGATCAAAAGAGACTAATTAAATCTATGGGAACTAATTATGGTAATTGGTTAAATTTATATGAGTTGGGCTTATGATCTGTATTAGACTAAGTTTATGTATGGATACATAAAGAGTTGGGCCACATGACCCATGGATCATAAAACCCATGGGTATGGATTTGGGTTATACCCATAACCCTTGGAATCCAACATATAAATATGTACTCCTTAGCCAAAAAACAACACACACATATTCTTGGAGTTCATGAGGTGTTTTTGGTGCATGGAGATTCTCTCTCAGGAGCCACCTTTGTCCTAGGTGAGTTGTGAGCCATTTGAGGTATTCATACTTTTAGTGCTAAGCTCTTAAGGCCTATACACAAGGTTTCAAGCTACATAAAAGTTATGTCATCTAACTAGTATTTCATATTGTTTATGTCAATTGCATGCTAGTTATAGGCTTAATGCTTTGGAAATACCATTACATGTATAATTAGAGAAAACATAGATCCAAAGAAT